GGTCAGGTCAGCAAGGTGTGCAGAACAAGAGAGGCATGCTGGGTTTGTTTTTGTTTTGTTTTTGCCACAAACTAGCTCATTGAGATGGCTATATGAGCAGGTGCACTGTTGTGGTGGCAAAAGCAGTCCCGTCGGCCACAAAGCAGGCCTTTTTTGTCACACACTGTTATGCAATCTTTTCAGAACTTCTAAATCAACGGTTCTCAACATGTGGGTTGCGACCCCTTCGGTGGTTGGATGACCCTTTCACAAGGGTCACCTGATTCATAACAGTAGCAAAATGACAGTTATAAAGTAGCAACGAAAATAATTGTATAGTTGTGGGGTCACCACCACCACATGAGGAACTGTATTAAAGGGTCATGGCATGAGGAATGTGGAAAACAGAACACCGAATGCACTACAAGCTGACATTTTTGTCCATTCGGGAAGTTGATGGACTTCCAGAAAGAGGTTTGTCATCAAACAACTTTCCACATTTTTTGAAATGAGAAAACTACTCACACACTTGAGTTTTTCCTTGTAAGCTGTTTTCAATATAACAAAAGTTTCTGCGGCATTTTTCCCAAGCAGGAAACAAAATTTCACAGTAGCACACTGTTCTCTTAAATCAGCCATCAAAAAAATAAGGTTTGAGTGAAACTGCTTTTACGAAAAAATTCACTGACCAGAGAGAACCTTACCAGGTGATGCCACTGGGTGCCCTAACGTAGAACGAGTTGCTGGATCCTCGCCTATTGGGGGAAATGTGCACTTTGAAAGCTCCGCTCTGCACAGTGCAATTCATAAATTCATAAATATTTTTTAAATAGACGTAATTAGTGATTCATGCTATAACACAGATGGACCTTGAAAATAGAGAACACTAATTAAGACTCTACATTTAGCAAGTGCCTGGCCCAATATGGGAAGTAAAAACACATATACTAAAACTCATCGACGTGAAATTTAAGAAGACTGAGAAGAATGCTAAAATTTCCCGAGAGAAAAAGTCTAACAAAGGATCAAGATTAGAAGGTGCTATGGAACGATATCTGTATTAACTCCCAATAAAATGGTTTGGGGAAGAAAAAATAAAGAATTAGAATGTGTACATGGACATTAGACAATGGAACAATGGCTAAAAATATGATTTGCATTCTTGATTCTACACCCAGCTGAACTACTAACTAAGTAAAAAAAAGTCTTTCCAAGAGGACATTTCTAAACAAGAGTTTAGAACATTTACCTAGTTTCGTATTAAACTGTGTTTCTAAAGCATATGTGTTACAAATCCTAAGCCCTATACCTCCTACAACCACTCCTGTGGTTAAGGAGCTCTAGTGATACAGTGGTTAAGTGCTTGGCTGCAAAGTTAAAGGTTGATAGTTTGAACCCACTAGCCACTCTGCAGGAGAAAGGCGTGACAGTGTGTTCCTGAAGAGATTAATCGCCTTGCAACACTACAGAGCAGTTCCACTCTGTCCGATTTGTGGTAGATTACATAATCTGGTGTCAATCTGAGGACTGAGAGTGTAGGGGGTGGAGTCTAGTCTGTCAATCAGATCACAGGCAACGAGGCCTCTGTGGGCACGGCCTTCCCCTGGGGATTCTGGGGACATGCTGGTATTGCCTCCTTGTAGGCCAGAGACACTGCTCTCTCGGCTCATTCCCTTGGAGACTCACTACTGACAAGGCTGATTCCCCGTCCCTGAGGAGAAGCCACATGGACCTACCCTGATGCAGCCCTGGGAACTGGAGGAGCTATGTGGAGACCGACCCTTGCCAGTGCTGAGAAGCTCACACCACCATTGGATCCACAAGACTTCCAACCCACTCGCATGTGTTTCATGAGTCCGAAGAGGACTTTATAGATTGGTATCACACATATGAGCTAATATCGGACTTACAGGCTTGGAATGGACTGAGTCGGGATGCTTTCTTAACGTACAATTACCCTTTATATAAATCTATCTCTTATACACATGAGTTTCTATGGATTTGTTTCTCTAGTCTACCTAGACCAACACTGTAGCCACTGAACAGCAAGGGGTAAGTTATGCCTATGGTTATAATTGCCCCTGGGATGGTTTTCTTGACATGTTAATCAGACAGTATTAGCATAGGGCGGGCCTTAAACTCTTTACAGATATAGAAAGCCTCATCTTTGTCCCACAGAGCAGCTGGTGGTTTCGAACTGCTGACCTTGCCATTAGCTATGCTACCAGGGCACCTGTGAGATACAAAAAAGATGAGATAAACCAATGAGCAGAGCAAGGGGAAGACAGTCGCCAGGTCACAGGAAGACCACTGCCAGGAAACCAAGACCTTGCCCCGAGTGGGCAGAGAGAAAGTCTTGGCCCTGAGAGCTGGCACCCTAAATTCAGACTTCTAGCCTCCCAAATGTGAGAATAGATCTCTGTTTTTAAAGTACATATCTTGTAGCAGAACTAGGAGCTGAGACACCCATCATACACCTTTCCTTCCACGGGAGCCTGTGCTCCAGCAAACCACAGCGGTAAACCAAGAGAGAAGCACGGACCGAGGACACGGGAGTCCAGGGATGCCAGCGGTGCCCAGCGAATGGCGACTCCCGGTGACCTCGGGTGTCAGCAGAACTGTGTTCCAGGGGCTCTCAGGGGCCTGCTGTGGGCAGTGGATGGCCAAGCCTCTCTCTGAGAGTGCCTCTGGATGATCGTAAACCCTTAACCTTCTAGTTAGCACGTCAGTTTAGAAGACCAGTAACAGGAAAAGTTATGCGGCAAATACAGAGCAGGCCTAGAGAACCATCCATCAGTCCAATGTGGAGCGGGGAAGGAAAGCCCTTCTGTACCGGAGAAAAGTATCCGGTCGCTCTGATGGAGCCATTCGAGGGCTATGGACAAGTATCCCATTGAAAACGTTATTTATTGGCTGTGACATGCTGTCGGCATGAAGTGCCAATCAAACAGTTTTTCTTAAAAAGTCATATTTTGCAGAGAAAAAAAAATCAGTTGTACAAGAAAGGAAATCTATTCATAGTCCACTGTGTGGCTCCCAGGTGGCCTGTCTACATTGTAAAACAGCATCCACGGTGGATTGCTCTTACTAAACCACGGTGACAGGACGGCACTGGAGACAGGGCGGCAGGGAGCTCAATTTTACTACCATAATGGAACACAAACATAATGCCTGAACCTGACTGAGAGACAGTCAAGTAAGCTTACTTTTCAGAACTGCCGTAGAATTTGCTACACACACACACACACACACACACACACACACACACACACACACAGTAAGAGAATAAACCACTGGAACCTGCACGTGGCTCCGGGGCTCAGTCCTGGGGTGTGAAGCAGCGGGACAGGAATCTGAGCTTTCCACTGACAGCTCGACTCGCACAGTGAGATGACTAGACTTTCAAAGGTTGAAGTGAATCACCACCTACTCTTTAGCCCAGCAGCAATGAAAGCCCAGACTTCTGTGGGAGCAGGGCTTTCCAAGAGCTTACTCCTGCTTCCAGCTTTGTCTCCTGTGATTCCCTCGGGAATCGGTCACCACGGGGTGGGGTGGGGTTGATTTGAACTCCAAGCAACCCTAAGGCCGCAGTGGGGAGTAGCGTTGCCCCCTAGGGTGTCCGTGGCTGGAGTCCTTACAGATCTGGGGGCCACAGCTTTCTCCAGCAGGGCTGCTGTGGGGTATAGACGGCCACTTTGCAGTCAGCAGCCAGGGCTTAAGCACTGTGCCCGGTTCACATGGCTCCTTCCACACTCCGTAATCACCACTTCCCCTTCTCGTTTCCTTTTGTCTTCCCAATCTGCACATTCCCGGGGGGCTGTAATGTCCTTTCCCCATCTCTGCCCAGTAGATCCTGCCCACCCAAAGGCTCAGGGCTCCTGCTCACACAACAGGCCTGCCAAGGGGGGCAACTGAGGATCTCAGAGATCAGGGTCTGTGCCTGACTCAACTGGGGTGGGGGGGGCGGTCCCTGCAGGGAGAGCCAGGCCAGGGAAGCGAGCCTGGGTACTTCCTGCCTAGAGTCTGCAACTTGATCTAAACCTCTGTGGATGTGCATCTTCCTAAGAAAAGCCAAGCTTTCAGAGAACCTGTGGGTGAGAGACGTTCAGGGGCTGTTGGGGGGTGTCTCCTGGCAAGGGCCCTGCTAAGAGCCATGTGGGCAGAGCCCCTCAGGCCCGGGTCAGTACCCCCACTCAGGGCCAGCATGGCCTGCACGTGCCTGTCTCTCCACTTGGCGGAGGCTCGACCCAAAGGAACACAGGCCCAGGGTGAGCTGGGGAAGGCAGAGAGGCCACGTTATGGGCTGAGCCCTTTGAGCAGTTGGGTGAGTGTGTCTTTTGGAGTGGACTGGCCCTGGGAGCAGGGTGCTCTGTGTTCTCCGAAGTAATCCCACACTCTCCATTCTCTAGAGCCGCCCAGTCCAACCCAACCTTCCATGGACCCGCTGCCTCCTGGTACGAGATGGATCACTCCTATCGAGGCTTGGGGGACAGGGAGCCCATGGTGGCTTTCCACCTAGACACCACCCCCCCCCCACCCGCCCGCCCGCCCCTCCAGCCAGAACACATTATGGGACGGGCATCCCACACAAACACCTAGTTTACATACACCCCACAGTTATGCACCAGCCCTCATGAAACCCATTTTGTTAAAATGTGGAGGTAGCAGACACTTCTCCTTGCGACTCGCACCAAACAGCTGATACAGTTCTATCATGTTGGAAGAGGAACCCTGGGAGAGCAAAGGGATACACATTGGACTACTAAGAACCCCAAGGTCAGCCGTTTGAAACCACTAGAAGCTCTGCAGAAGAAAGATGAGGCTTTCTGTTCTTGTAAAGAGTTACGGTCCTTGGAAACCATAGGGCAGGTCTACTCTGCCCCCCTAGGGTCGCTCTGAGATCAACTCACCGACAGGGAGGGAGTCTTTTTCTGGTCTGGTGTTGTATGAAGGGTATGTTTGGGTTCTGAAGTGCCGCTTTAACGTTCTGACACACAGGGAGGGCTTGTCCGCGGGCTTACCCAGAACTTCACCAGAAAAAAGGCATTGGCGGGTCCCCGTTCAAAGAGCTCCTTCAGGCCACCCTTCTTCTCGGGGAACTTGTCGTAGATCTGGTGGATGTCCACGGCTTCGAGGTAGGGGTCACTGTAGCTTGGGTTTGACTGGCCAATATGTACGAACAGGTGCTTGTTGTACTGTAGAGAGAATGGGGAGGGGGTGGGGGTGAGAAAGGTTTCGGCCCACCCACTCCCTCCCGAACTTCAGCATCACCGGCCAGCCGGCATCACCTGGAAGCAACAGGGCCGGCAGGGGCTCAAAGCGGGAGGGGGCAGGTGTCAGAGCCCACCTGGCCTCGCGCTCAGGTGTGCAGGCTTGTTTTTCAGTTGCAGGACCCACTCGTCAAACCACCTGCTGCTCAGCAGCTCGGGTATGACCAGGGCAAGGGGAGGCTGACTCTGGCGGCGGCCCTAGCAAGGTGCTCAGCAGATGTGGACCGGAGCCGGGAGAAGGGACGGGACGGCTTGGGCTGGGTGGGATGCGGGACTGGATGCAGGAGCCAAGTTCAGGACGGGGAAGGGAAGGGTGCCTGAGAAATCCAGGGTGAGAAGACAGGGTGGGAGAAGGCGCAGGGATCCGAAAAATCAGCCCGGAAGTGGACAGGAGAGTGAGCAGGCGCACGGGAAAAGCAGAAAAATCAGGAGGGAGAGCGGTGCAGAGAAGGCGTGGGGGCAGGGGGGCCGGCACCTACCGTGGCCGGGTCTTGCTGCTGCTCCAGGAAGGCGGAGAACTCCAACATGCAGAGCTTGGAGCTGGCCACGCCGCGGCCCTGCCAGGGCGGTGCTGGCGGTGCCGAGGGTGATGGGGTGGGCCCTGCAGGAGCCTCGAAGCCTGCACGTGGGAGAGGCACAGACACTCAGAGCGCTCTCCCCGTGCTGGCTCAGGGCGGGGTGGGGCGCGGGCAGGGGAGTTCGGTCACTGGCTAGGGTGTCCAGGAGGGTCCCTGGTGGTCCCTCCCCCTGGCTCTCTACACAGGGCTGGAGGGAATGGCATCCTGGAACAGCGGGCACTAGGATGCCCACAGGGCTGAGGCTGCCTAAGCAGGTACTGCTGGCCTCTTGCCAGAAGAGCCCCTGTTCAGTCAGAGATGACTGGTGAGTCCGTTCTGATGACGCCGTGTGAGACGTGCCAGACGTGCCCTGTTTTGTCCACTGCTGGCTCCGGCCCCTACACCGCGCCTGTCCCCAATGAGGCACTGAGGGTGGGGTGGTGTGGGAAGAGGTCAGATGCGCAGGCATTCCCTCCCCTGAGGGAATCAGTTGCCAGACTGCTGTCTCATCCCTCCACAGGGGTGGGCCTGCTCCCTGCCTCTGGGGACAATGGACAGGCTCCTGTAGGAGGGGTTTACACCCTACTGATAATGTTCCTATGGAGACCCAGAGACCACCCTCTCATTGCTGTGTAACCTATAGTGCAGCCCCTTCCTGTGACGTATGTCTTTACCTGTAATTAGTGGGCTGGATTGCCCCCAAAAGGTATATAGGTGTGAGTCAGCGGAACTTCCCTCTCTGACCCTGAGCTCCTTGCTGCTCACTCCCTGCTCAGTCCCCTCTCCCTTGTTCCCTTTCCCTCCTTCCCTTCCCCCTCTCTCCACGTGGACCACCAAGCTGGGCTGAGGTGAGCAATGTTGCTATGTATCATGCCTGACTGTATTATTGTAATATCTCTCATGCTCTCGATGACTTTAATATAATACTTATATATCTCAACCGTACAATTGTGCATTACTGAACCCAGAAGTAGTATTACTGAACTCGTAGGAGTAAGCAGCGGGTGGGGGCTGGTTACCTCACCCCTCCATCAGCGTCATTTATTTTTTTATTAAATACTACAGGGTGGCTGGGTAGTGACAGAACATTTGACGCCTAGACATGGGGCCACAGAGGACGGGCCTGGCAGTCCCGCTGTGGAAAGGTCCCAGCCACGGGAACCCCGTGGAACACTTCTCCTGGATACACAGGAGGTGGTCGTGAGCTGACGTCAACTGTAAGGTAACTAGCAGCGAGGATGGATGACTATGGATGTGAGAGCCATTGGTAAGACAGGCACTGGGCACGCGGGGCACCAAGCAGGCAAGCTTCCCCAGCAAGGCGGAGCTGGGCGAAGGGATGAAGACGGGGAAGGCGTATTCCACAGCGGGGGCCACACTGGGGGGCCGGGCCGGCTCATGAGTATGAACACCGGGAGAACTGGAGAGAAGAGTGGGTGGGTGCCGGCTGTAGGAATGAGGCGGAGAGGCAGCTGGAGGGGCAGTGCCTGCAGTGGGCTCCGCAGGGGGGGCCGTGGGTGGGAGGCAGAGGGACAGGGAGACCGTGAGTCCTCTACAGGAGCCCAGACCCTATCTGAAGATGCCAGTGAGTCACAAGAACTGCACTGGAGCTGCTCGGTGGGGCAGCTCTTTGCAAAGACCACTTGGTCAAATGAGATGGGGGTGGGAGGGGAGGGGGGCGGGCAGGACTGGTGACGTTGTGGCTACGGGTTGGAACTGCTAACAGCAAGGTCAGAAGCTCAAAACCACCAGCTGCTTCCCAGGAGGGAGAGAAGGCTTTCTACTCTAAGGAGTGAGTCTCAAAACCCCACAGGGACAGCCAGCACGGACTCGAAGGCCGTGAGTTTTGGGGTTGGTGGGGGGGGTGTTGAGGAGCTGAGGCTGGAGTTGGGCAGCCAGCTAAGAGGAGTCTACAGTTGTTCAGGCCAAGAGGGGGGCTTGCATGAAGAGTGTGGACAACAGGCAGAGAGCGGGTGGGCTGACAGGGCCTGTGGACTCTTGGTGAGAGAAGTTGGTAGCCCAGAGGCTAGGAGGGTGGCAGAGTTGCCTGGAGGCAGGAAGAGCCCAAAGTGGCCAGGTGCCAGCCCAGGGGCAGGAGGCTGGGGAAGGGAGAGGCTCTGCCCTGCTCTCTGGAATGGAGGGTGCTGAAGAACGTCCGTAGGAAGATGAGGACAAGGGACAGGCGGGTCCCCTGGGCAGTGAGAGGAAGGGCTCCCATGGCTAAACCTGCCTGCCTTTTGCCTGAGAGCTGCCCCAAGCAAGCCCCAGGAGGCCTCCTTCTCACCGAGGGCTTCTTCCTCCTCCTCCTCCTCCTGTTTTGATTACAGCATCCCCAAGGAGCAGTCCTAGGTGAACGGGGCCACATGGGGTGGCAGGACAGACAGAGCCAGGGCCCTCTGAACAGTGTGCTCCTGCACCCACACTGGGGAGGGGGACAGGAGCTGAGGCCACCTGAGGGCAACAGAGAGGTCCGCGCACAGAGGTGTGATGTGCATGATGAAGTGAGGGGCGGGGTGGAGACCAGAGTCTGGGCACACGATCCCCGTCGTCGGGGCACCAGGAGTGGGCGTGGATGGTAGCAATGCCCTGTTGACCCACCTGGTAGAGGCAGCGGAGGCTGGACAGTGTAGGTTTGTTGAGAGAAAGGTTTCACACTGCGGGAGACAGGAGAGAGGGTGTAAGCCCTGGGCAGACCGAAGGAGGCAAGGTCCCAGAGCCTGGAATAGTTCCCTTGTGAGAGGCCAGGTGGACTGACCATCAGTGACCTTGGTGGTCTCTGGCCAATTGACCCCTCCCACCAGCTTCCTCAGGGAGGTCTTATCGCAACCTCCCTCATGGTCAGCCCTGTAAGCCTGTCAGGCTGGTTGCTAAACAGACTGGGGTTCAGACAAAGGTATGCTAACAAGTCCACACCCCAGCCCTGGCCAACTGTTCCCTGAGAACAGGAGCTCTCGAGGCTGTCCTTACAGGCTGAACCCCACCCCACCCTAGGGCCACACTCGATTCCACGAGCCCCTGCGATCCAGTGCAGTTCAGGAAACAAGGGAAGCACAAACCAGCCATACTCACTCATGGGACGTCCCGGCTTGGCCTGGCAGCGCTCCTTGCCAAAACTGTGGGGACGTGAAAGTGGAGAGTCAGGGTGGCCCTGGGTGCACATGGCCCCATGGGGGTGGGGGTGGGTGCAGGGGAAGCACAGGGCCGGCGCTGGAAAGGAAGGCAGAGGCCCCAAGCTGCCCTGCGCCAGAGGGGAAGAGACCCAATGCGGGGGGTCGGTCACAGCAGCAGTGTCCCCACAGCATGTCTCAAAGGGGACTAGTCTGTCTCAGGAGCAGAGACAACGGTCCTGCGCCTATCTCCTAGAGTCACAGGCACAACGCACTTAAGGCACCGAACCACCGTCTGGCCGATTTTCCTGGGAGGCTGGGCAGTGCTTTCTGGGACACACTCTGAAACGCTAGATGGGCTGCTCCCGACTCAAGGACGGGACCCATCACCTTGTGTGCCCAGAGACCTGCTGTGTCCCAAGAAGCCAGGAAGGCCCTGTGGGCGTCACCCTGGAGAGGAAGAGCCCTTCTAGACACCATCATGAGGGGGTGGCCCGCAAGGTCATGGCTGAGATGGAAACTCCAGGCAAAGGTTTGCTCCAGGACTCCAGCTCTCCAGCTGGAAGGAGAGCAGTGTCTGAGAGGGAGACAGGGAGTGAGGCCGAAGGGTGGAGGGCTACTCGGGACATGCCTCTGGACGTCAGCTTCCTCATCTGTAACGGGTGCCAACCTTCAATGGAGGAGGACCCTTTTCTCCCGCTGAAACACTCTCTTTGTTCCAATGCCCAAAGAATCACAACTCGGCAAGGCTGCCTGCCTGGTCCTCGCTCCCTCCTTCCCCTGGTGGCTTCCCAGGCCTGAGACCTCCAGAGACATCTGGGTTGGTCCATTTTTCTGGTGGGGCTCCGGGTAAGGTTTGGACTGCTACCCCCAAGGTTGGCAGTTCAAAACCACTAGTGAGTGTTTGGGAGTGGAAACAAGGCTGACTGTTCCCATTAAGAGTTACGGCCTCAGGAACCCTACACAGGGTGGCTGTGAGCCAGAAGCCACTCGACGGCAGTGGTTTGGGTGCTTCAGAAGAGAGAAGAGGGGGAAGGTGAGGGCTGGGGTGGCCTCTGGCTCCAGGCAGCCTCACTTACCCCTGAGACTGCTGGGTAGCCTGGGCCCCGGGTGAGGGCCATTTTACTGTGGAAGGCTGTGGCAGAGATGATCTGGGCGGACGACATTGTAGCCATGCTCTGCAGGGCCTTGTCCTTAGCTGCCTGATCCTGGGGGGAGACATTGGAAGGGCGGGCCTCAGCGGTGGCCCCATGCCAGGCTCAGGGGAGGCAGTGGCCCCGAACTCAGCCCGAGGAGACAGGCTTGAAGTCATTCCGGTGCTACTATCTGGTTTAGAGCCAGAGTCAGCCGGTCTGTCCGGGGCCACTTCCCATCTATCTGTCCAAGGGACACACGGTGTGTGCTGTATGTGGTACGGGGGTTTAGAGAGGTTTGGGAGACCCTCACGCAGAGCCCATCTTTCATTTTACGAAGCTGGGGGGCAGCCTGACACAGGGAACCTCTGCCTCCCTGTTCACCGTGGCACGGCCGGTGTGCACTACTGATGGCAGCTGCGGCTCAAAGAGTGGGTGGATTCTCCCCAGAAGGGGCAGGTGGGAGTGCCCCGGGGAAGATGGACCTCCAGGGCCCGCCCTGTCTCCCTTCTGCTCTCCTGTTGCACTGTGGGTACAGACCCATGAGCCTCAGGCTCCTTTCCACTGAGCGTGTCAGTACCTCCTACCAGCCCTCCACATGCCCCAGACAGACCCCAGAGAATGGGCTCACCCGGCGCAGGTCCAGAACCACAAGGCACTACCAAGTCACTCACAAGCCGCTGGCCGACGGTGACACTAGTGATAACGCCAGGCGCATACTTGGGCCGCTGGTTCTCATTCTGAGTTCCCCAAGTCCCAAAAGCTCCCCAAAGAATGAAATTCCCTTCCACTTTCAAAAAGCCTAGTAGGAAGCATGCCATTGCCCCAAATAAGCCCAGACTTCCACACAGGGGGACCGGGGTCTTAGTCAAGGGTGTGTGGCTTCACCGGTGCTAAATGGCGGCATCATGGTCGATTTGGAAGCTGGGATGGGAAATTCTAGATCTTTATTATGCTTTTTTTTAAGTGGAAGAAAATTAATTAACCATTGCGTAATGATATTAATGGATGCGGTAGAACCAGCTCTGTCTTAGGAGATAAGACGAATTGCCATCCTGTGGCTGACAAGCACTTACGTATAACTGTCCCCCTCCATCCTCCCAGCCAGCCCACCCAGCAGTCTGTGGGGGAGGGTTAGGGTTGTGGCCATTTACATGTGGTGGAAAGCAACGGTCTCAGCGTCCACCAAGGGTCTCGATGCTGGGTCGTTGTGCCATTGGGACACAGCAGGCCCTCCCACTCGGTCCTCGCATGGGGGTTTCAGTGTGTGGGCGTCTTGCGCTGCCTCTCCCGCAGCGCTGCTGGAGTACCAGTAGGATCCCATTGTAAAGATGAAGGGACACGAGGGCTTGGGGCCAACAGGAGCCTGGTGGTATGGTGCTTACACGCTGAGCTTGGATCCGAAAGATGGGTGCTTTGAAACCACCAGCCTCTCCGAGGGAGAAGGACAGGGCTCTCTACTCAAATAAACAGTGACAGCCGTCTCAGACACTCGAAGGGGCAGCTCCACCTGTCCTATAGGGCTGCTGGAAGCCGGCATAGATTTGATGCAGGTAGGGGAAAAAGAAGGGGGAGGGCGGGGGGAGGGTGCTGCTAACAGTGGTGGTGGCCAAGTCCCGGGAGCTCCATCCAGATTTGCGATTTGCACTTAGACAACATCTGGGGCGTGGGGGAGGGGGGGTGGCGCGAGCTGTACACATCGAAGAGGGGGTGCCATCAGGATGGACAGCCCCGGTGGCCACCCCACAGTGGGCTCTGATCACAGTGAGTGGACTAAACCATGCAGGAGATGAGGGCTGCTCCTGGCCCCTCCATGCTATCCTTTTAGGGCCAGTCATGTCTTGGGTGGGTGCGGTTCTTCCCAGGGATGCTTGTACTTTTCAGGAGGGAAAGGCCAGCTCACAGAGGAGCACAGAGTGATCGGCAGGCCGCACCCACAGCACCCACAGCACCCGCAGACTTTGTGATTAGGCCATAGTCGGAGGCAACAGCTCAGCCCGTTGGTACCAGAGGCAGGAGAGAGACCAATCTAAACAAAGGACCCTGGCAAGGCCAGGCGTCCTGGGGCAGGGCCGGACGGGAACCAGGGGTGAGTAGGGAGGACAAAGGACATTGGGAGTGGCACTCTTGGCCACAGGGCCAAGGAATCCTGAGGCAGAGGGGACCTCAGATACCTCCACCTTGCTTATTAACTTTGGGGGACCTCCACCTTGCTTATTAACTTTGCTCTCATTTGATAGATGAGGAGACTGAATGTAGCGGTGTAGGGGACCCGTCGGGCTCAAGTCCCCACAGCCACATGGCAGGAGCCAGGGTTAGCTAGACCCCAGGCCCAGAACCCAAGGAATTCTATCAGGCCCCCATCTCCAACTTAAAGGACTTCAAAAGCCTCAGGCCACCCTCCCCAGGAAAATGCACAAGCATGTGCTACTCTATTGTCACTTAAGGGGCTCTCCCAGAGCCTGGCCAGCCACCAAGCTAGACACTATGGTCAAGGACAGGTGTGCTTCCATGGAGAAATGTGGGTCTGCCATCCACAGGCATCCCCTTGGGTTCTGAACAAGACACTGGACTCTTGTCCTCCACACCAGCCACCTGCTGTGGGCCCCAGTGACCAGAGAGGGGAGTGAGGGGCAAACCAGGCTCCAGGGCCAGGAGTGTTCTGGGGCACATATGCCAGCCCCCAGCAGGAGGGGAGGGAGGACAGCTGCAGCCCAGCCAGCTGTCCTGGGAACAAAGGAGTGAGGTGCAAGCCACAGCTGTGGAGGGCTGGGGACAGCTGGGCTGTGGGCAGTGGGGTGTGGCTTCCAGGGAAGCAGAGCGGCTTGGGTTTCCCACCCTAGCAGCACAGACTGGGGGGCAGGACGGCCCGTTATAGGTCACCTAGCCCAGAGGCTTTCAGGCTGGGTAGCAGTGCGATAGAGTGCTGGGAAGGGCCTTCAATGCCTTGGGGTACAAGAGACTCCCACAAGGCCTGTTCTTCGCCAACCTCACTGGGACAAGAACACACTGAGGGGGGTACTGTCTTAGGGGGATGAGCAGGGCACCCATTACAAGCATTGCAAAATGTCCATGAACTACTGAGCTAGTCCAATGTCCAAGCAGCTGTGCAGATTATGCTCCTAGGCCCTCCCCAATTTATGGGGTACATTCCCAACCCCATTTTCTGGCATGCACCATATGGGTCCCTGGATCCATCCTGTGGGGAGAGCATGCCCGACCCCAGGTGACCGGCCCTCTACTGAGCAGGCTGCTCCAGGGGCGAACGATTTCATCAACTCCTGACACACCAAACCCCACCCACAGGGAGCAGAGGCTCGGGAGGCCACCAAGGCATGGGACCTGGAAGGCAACCCTGCTGTCCCCACCCCCACCCAGAGCCAGAGTTGGAGGTGGCCTGGCGGGAGAGGCGCTGTGGAGTCTGGCATCCATGCACGTGGCTCCCAGGCCCGGGTGGGGTGGGGGCAATGTCCTTCTGTGGGCAGACATGACGGCGGTATCAAGATGATCCCCATGCTGCATGCCAGCAGGTACCCCCCTCAAACCTAAAGGCCTCTCCTACTACAAACAGCGCCCCACCTTCTGGAAACCTGGCCCTACCCCACCGATGCAGAAGCCCGCCTTACCTTAAGCTTGGCCTGGATCTCTCGGGCTTTGCGACGAGCCAGCACCTGGATGTGGCTGGAGACCTGTGGCACAGGAAGAGAGCTTAGTCTCCATCACCCTGTCCTGCCAGCGTGGCCCACTCTTCCAGAAGGTTTTGCTCCCTGCAAACCTTCGAGAAAGGCTGGGGATGCCAAAGCCACAGGATCTCTCGAGAGGTGGCAGCAGGGACCCCAAGCACCCCGGGCGGTCTGTGGTGTGCCAAACCACCCAGGCTATGCTGGCCACAGTCTGCAAGCCCCTGTCCACCACCCGGCTCACCTGCTTCCTGGTACGGGTCTTCCCTGTGCGCAGCTTGATGTAGCGGGCGATCAGCTCATTCCGACCTGCAGACAAACCCAAACCTCTCAGTGCAGGAGGACCGAGCAGGGGTGGTGGGGTGGTGGTGCTGGGCTCTCTGGGGAACTCTCTGTGTTATTGGATGGAGCCTCCGGCGAATCCCCTCAGACCACGCAGCCCAGGGATGTGACTGGCCTTGCTCTCAGGCAGAGGGCACGGGGGATGTCGTTATAACGAGACGAGGCTTTCTGCTTGTGAAAAGGGTTAGTCTGTCTCGGAAACCCACGGGGCTGCGATGAGTCGGCACCGACAGGACGGCACTGAATTTGGTTTTCAGTGAACCCTTCCCCCAAAGGATTCTTATACTCGGTGATTTAATAGTATAAATTCACCATGATCAAAACTGCAGCCTTTGAGGAACTCAGATTGTCTTCCTTGAGTCAGGAGAAGCTACAGAAGGGTGGGGTGTGTGTCAAGATCCGGGCTGGAATGTGGGTGGGATGAGGCTTCCCAAGGAAACCCGGCTGGCTAGGAGAGCCCGTGCTGCTTGGCAGACTCGGCGGGGCACTGCTGCCAGGGGCAACAAAGTCCTTGGCGCAGCTTCCTGATACGTCTTCCTAGCAAGCCCACTGTGATGGTCCTGGGTCCTTCCACCAATCCATCAGGAGTATCCTTTTGGAATCCGCCCCCCACCCCCAAAGCAGGTGGCCCCTCTGCCTTGAATTTAACTGGTCCAACAGGTCCCCTGGGAAGCTACTCTCTTGATTGGGTTTTGACATTTCTTTTGAAGACACCTTATAAGACCAAGACAAGGGGCTTGGTGAATTACTGAGAGGACCTGTCAGCAGTCAGGAGAGAACTCCGTGGCATGTTCGATACGCGGTGTTAGGAATAAATCATGCGTGTCTGAACTGGAACTACTCATGCATCTGCACACACAGACACACCCCTCCTTGCTTAAGCAGGACCAAAGACAGTCAGGATGTGAAAATCTGTGTGACATGAAAACAGAGATAACACATCAGACCACAAAGCGGTGGCAGATCATGGGATCAGGCATCAAAGACCCAGAACAAAAAAAAAATCTTATCAATGCGGATGAATGAATGAGGGGGGAGTGCAGAGTGGAGACCCAAAGGCCATCTTGCAGACAATTGGACATCCCCTTACAGAAGGGTCACAAGGAAGAGACTGGCCAGTCAGGGTGCAGTATGGCACCATTGAAACACAACGTTCCACTGAATCTGCAGCTCAGGGAGAGAGACATGTCTGATCAGAGCACACGGGAGCAAATGAAGAGGGAGGAAGAGAGAGTGGAGCACATCCTTGCCCACCAAGCCTTGAGGACAATATTTCGGCTCAGAGCAGCCAATTGACAGAGAGGATCATAGGGCCAGCCTCACTATGACACACGATGTCCCTCACTGACTCATAGTGCTACAGGGGACAATACTGGAGACTCAATGCAGGAATTGTGCCCAAT